GTTTTTACCAGTACACATTATTTACTATCAAAACAAAATCCAAAAGCAATAACAGTTTGACAATATAACTTTATCCAGTATTTAGAATGTTGTGGTAACTATGAAACTATTCCGAAATTCGGATGCCACAGCTCAGCGCCTGCCAACTGGGACGAGACCACTAACTAGCTGTACAAGCTGTAAATTATTAAGCACAAACATAGCTTGTAGCTTCACTTTTCAGAATGTTCCATAGAACGGTCGGCGGTATTGTCTTAGTGACATGAGACCTGATGAAAATCGTTAAAGGTGAGCCGACCTTTCCGTCGCGGCGCCGCCGTGCCGTGAGTGAGAATTTTACAAAAAAATCGTCCCCAATTTGTCCAAGCTGCCTACCGTAACTGTTGAATTTTTCACAAGATTTCCTTGACTCTGGGGAATAAATAAAGTTGTTTATTTACTTCGGAGCCTGTTCGATAGGGCTGCTTGGAATTTTTAACAAATTTATAATCATTGCGGTGTTTTATAATTTGAATACATTATCTCGGAGGTTGATTGTCGCTATGGTGACAATGGTCATAAAGTGGTTGTAAATATTTGTTGTTTACAAAAGACCGACATGTGAGGTAACAGTATTATTTTGATATGACATGGGTACAGATATAGCTTCGTTGTGCTTTTTCTATCGCTTATTACACCGTGAGTGCTCTGAGGAATTGTTTGACCTGCATATGCATCCCCATCTTATAGATGGTTGGCAGGCCACAACTGTGCGCTTCTCACGTAGCCTTCTGCCTCGCACAGCAAAACTGTGGAATGATCTGTCGTCGGCGGTATTTCTCAACCGATACGACCTTCAAACTTTTAAGAAATGAACGTAGTCCTTTTTAAAAGGCCAGCAACGCACCTGTGACTCCTCTGGTGTTGCGGGTGTCCATGGGCGGCGCTAATTGCTTACCATCAGGTGATCAGCCTGCTCGTTTGGCTCCTATTCCATAAAAAACATTGGTTCCACATTATTTACACACATGAACCAAATTTGGCATAAAAATCGTTTCTGTGTGAAACCATTTCAAAAAGAATTTCTTTGCAAACGATTAAACATTGTTACCGGTGTTATTCCTCTGTGAAGTGGATTATTTCATCCTTATACACTACAATGTGAGTGAGACAACATTTCATTTACTTTGTCCGCAAAATCATATCAGCAGATTTATTTTATATCAGTTTTATAAGTTTTCGATATCTTCGTGACAACAAGAGCTATCGTTTATTGCGTTTATCTTGTGAATAGTTTTTACCGTACCATTGAGAAGCAATAGAAATAGTAAACGATCAAATATTTGCTATCGCGCATTTCCTTAAAGAATAGGGTAGATGACAGTTTTTTATTTTAATGTCCGTCTGGTGGATTATTCAAAAACATTAGACAGGTATTTTTATTTTTTTTACGGAAACTAATAGTTTCGAAGATATATTGATTTGAAATATCGCGTGACGTCACTTATATTTACATTTTATACTTAGAAATGACGTTTTAGCCTCCATTCCTAAACTATGATTCGTTATATCTAAGTATCATTCTATTATACAACAAAATAAAGAAAAAATCCGTGTCTAATAATTGTTCATTGTCTAACTGGCGGAGTAACTAGATTTTTAATTTTCATACCCTGGCAACTACATTGTGTTTAAAGAAAGAAACGGTACTAATAAGATTTAGGTGTTTAATATTTGCGGTCTTATCTCATAAAGTTAGATTAAATTCAACATTTCGTATGAAATCTTACGTCAAATATCCGTCAGTTACAATATACGAAGGAGCTTTACTATACATTAGGAAAGATACTCTTACTTTGATATTGGGCTAGAATAAAAAAACAATATGGCAATACAAAATATATTTATTATAGGACGTTGAAAAACGAGTCTCTTAGAAACGATTGAAGCACCAAAATGTCAGTGGTTTATTTATGTGTGCGTGTGTAATGGGTTACCACGTCACCAGACTTGAGAAAATGACAGATGTCCTTCGTGAGAATGTGTTTATGTTCTGCGTGTACTAAGTCTATAGTAGCCAGTGCCTTTAGCCAAACGCCACTTTACCGCTTGTCTACGAGAGAGTAGAAAACTAAATATATGGGAATGACACTGACAAGTGTCAAAATTTACGTCAATCCCATATAATTTGGTTTTCTATTCTACATATAGACAAGCGCTAAAAGGCATTTGGCTACAACTGCACGTGCCACAATCGTTGTTTCAAGAGACTAATGCCGGAATACTGAAACGTTACTTAATTTTAAGTCGTGCTCAGATATCGTGCCATCTCTGTCATTTTACAAAGAATTTGTAGAGATAGAACTATACTTAAGCACGACTTAAAATTGAGTAGCGTTTCAGTATTCCGACATACGTCTGCCATTTTTTCAACGTCCTTGACTTATTTTATCAAAATAATAATAAGCCATTAATACTCTAATTAGCATACGTGGTCAAGTTTAGTTTAAATAAATGAGAAATTTGGGTTTGTATAAAGCGTCAACCAGAACTGAATAGTACGGTAATTTGTGGTCGGATACCGAATTAGTAATGGACAGATTCACAACTAATATCTAATCATTGCAATAAGTTTATCGGCACATAAATAACTGTCGGTTTTCCGCTATCGGATTGTTGGTGTCCATTTTAATGAGCTGTTGTGTTTTAGTTACACATATAATAGGGTAGTTTCCTAAATTTTAATTTAATGTCCGTCTGGTAGATTCATTAAAAACATTAGACACGCACAAATCTTGGGATATGATGATGGGATAAGCCTATAAACGGGCAGACGTAACACCTGATGGTAAGCAATCGGCGTCGCCCATTTACACCTGCGACACCTAGGCGTTACAAATGCGTTACCGGCCTTTTGGGAATTGGAAATTTGAGGATTGTGAAGGCTTTGGGGATTAAGGACATTGGGGAGGAGGGGTAATTGGGTCTCCGGTAAACTCACTCACGTGACGAAACGTCGGTTTTCTGTGAGGACGTGGTATCACTCCGGTCGAGCCGGCCCATTCTTGCCGAAACATGGCTCTCCCACACTTATATTAAGTTTATAAACACCTTTAAACACAATCTAGGTTAGATGAAACCATTGTGACGCTACATAATTCACGAACTATAAAGTTTTTATATTCATAATAATATCGATGTAAATTGGAGATTAAAATAATTCGTCATTCTATATGTATTTTCCGTAAGCTAAAAATATATTTAGTTAACATTCAGTTTTGGCACGTTCCCTTACTAAACTGTCAAAAGTACTCGTTCCTATTAATTACGTAACAAACTTCGCTGTAACCACAATGGCGGCTCTGATAAAAGATTTTATTTGTATATTCGCTTTATGTATAAATGTATTATTGTTTTAGCCTAAATATTTATTAGGTCATATTGTTATTGATATTTTCTATTTCTATTTCATTTCACCGCTTCACGGTAGATGTCCTTCGCATACATACCAAGAGCTTTGCATCAAGCCTCCTTGTGCGTACTCCTAAGTAGTGGAATTCTTTGCCAGAGTCTGTATTTCAACTTAATTTCAACTGTATCCGTGTTATGGAGTGTTGTGATTTAAACAACACTCCAGTAAAGTTCAACTAAATGGAAACTTCACAAAAGATACGATTTTCCGTACTTCGAATGGGCTTGGCTGGCAAACAACTTATTTGTAAAGCCGTCGAATAGCAATGAATGGGAACAATCCTATGATCTAATTAGTAAATACAGGAACTTCTAGAATGCCTACTTTCGATACTACTTGGGTGCTCAGGCCTTTATATCGTCGATGTATACATTTACTTGATGAGACTTTTCAATAGAAGATTTGTTATTTGCGAACAATAACAAATCTTCTTAAGTGATTTTGTATTGAATTTTAGTTGGGGATATGTTTTTTATAGTTTCAACAATACATAATTTATTCTTTTTTTAAGAGGGGAAAATCATCGTATGACTTCTCCCGCCTAGGAGTGATGGTGTCAGACTATTACTGACTAAAAACCACCCCGTTCCTACTCCTGCCCTTCGAGCCGTAGCCCCGGCAACCCGTTAAGTCCTCCGCGGCTCCGTATCGGCATCACCTATTGGACCCCATCTGTGGTGGCCTGATGGCTCTTAGAGCCGCGCGCGGAACGCGATATAATTTTTACTTAGCATGATAAATGTATAATATACTAAATACAGGGTGTTAATGAAACACTCCAGAAACGATGACAAAAAGATAGAGTTTTGAGTACAATTTTAGTCGTTTTTGTTTTAATGTCGTTCATATAACATCAGCCTTGAGCGGTTGGTTGGTTATAACTATTATTACATAAAAGAAACATTTACTTCTTTACTTTATAAAAGTAAAACTTGTTTTTTACTATCACCTGTGGGCGTTTTTCGGTAGGGTTCCGTTTACATAACATTACGACTTTTATCCCCGAACAGGTAGGCAGAGCACATTACGACACTTAATTTCATTAAACAATGTAACATCCAATTTTCACTATTTATGTTATGAGTCCCATGTTGTAGTAGGGAGTGACCCATAGGGGGTGATATTTTTAAATGATCTAACTGACTGACTAATTTCATTTTTAATTTTCATACATTGTCTAGTACCTTATATACTTCAGATACGACCTCTAAACTCACAAACTAGTTAATCTCGTTCCGTACAGTATAAGCACGTAATACATCGGACGTTCGTTCTGGAGCCAAGTTATCAAATATGTATGAAACATTACTACTTAGCTTGGACTCTAGTTAGGATTCCTTTTTCGTTTGAGAAGAGGAAATGTACTCATGTAGTGGTATAGTTTATTGGCCGATTGATTATATTATAAAATCCCGAATGCCGTTGTGCCTCCAAAAAGGGAGGCAACAACTCGGAGGTTGTTGTGGGCACTCCGCAGTCTGTCCGTCCCTCCAATATAACCATTAGAAAAGTTTCATCCACCAACTGTAAGAGTGACGCTTCCCAGGATATGGGTGAAATTATATTGGAGATGAAAGATTTGAAAGAACGCATTGTGGCGCTGTCCCTTAGTGTTAATGAGATGTATACGTACATGCATCGCTGCTATGAAAACATAGGAGTAAGCAATGGTTACATGATTAGTCTCAGTGAAAAATTGGAGTCTGTGGAGGCTAACATCATGAGTCTGCTGCGGTCTTCGGAAGGGACTGATTCTTATGCCACAATACCTAATCCTGAGGGGCCCATAACTAACAAGACGAACATCTCTAAGCGAAAAAAAAACAAACACACTAAGGCTAAAAGAAAGTCGACTATCGGGGAATCGCTTACCACTAATGGATGCCATTCTGCTGCTCGAGATGTGGATTCGGCTGACTTACCTGTTGAGCCAGAAACTAATAAAGTGAATCATTTTCACGTCGAAACTGAGCTGGCTGGGTGTATAAACCTGGTCGACACACCTGTGCATTCGGCCTCAGCTGTGACCGATCATGTGCCGAGTCACCCTGAGGCAGTGGATGTTTCCTTGGACACTGCACCGAGTTTGGGCAGAAATCACCAGGGTTTAAAGAGGCGGTGGAGGTCATTAGCGGCTCAGTCTTTACAGACATGTACTCCTACTCCAACTGATACTCCTACGGTCAATGGTCCACCGAACCGTAAAAAACGGCAGAATTCTATTCGTTGCACTGCTGGGCCCAACATTACTTCTCTCAGGGCGGCCGAAGAGATCAAAAACATACACTTGTGGAATATGGAGTCCGGCCCTGATGAAATTGCAGCATATTTGCAGCAACTATGTCCCCTGGCAAAATGTGTCGTTGATGAAGTGAAAACTAAGGGCAGATATAGGTCATACAAACTGGCGGTACCAATAGCCTATTACGACCGTATTCTTTCACCGGCGATTTGGCCAGAAAATGCACGGATCAAGCCATGGATCACCTTTCGTCGACTTCGCACCAATGAACAGGCGAAGCAACTTCCGAATAATAGCGGAATTACCACAACGAACTATTCTCCTCGTGCGAGAGCAGTGGCTGCGTTTAGTATATTTTACCAGAATGTTCGTGGCATTAAAACTAAGCTACATAGATGGAAAACCAATATGTCACTACTGGACCATGCTATTATTGTTGCTACCGAGACATTTTTGGATTCCTCGGTGGAGGACGCTGAGGTTGTATCCTCGGGCTGGAGTGTGGTGCGCCGAGACAGAAGCGGACCGGGAGGTGGCGTTCTGGTGGCTGCTAGACCGGGGACTGTGCCGGTTCGAGTGAACAAGTTGGAAACATCTAATGGCGAGGATCTCTGGGTTAAACTTAATGTGGGAGGAAGCAGTGTATATATCTGTGCCGTGTATATTCCTCCAAGTGCCGCAGATTCTGTATACTTTGAATGGTTCTGTAAAGTGGAATCCTTTGTAAATGACCTAAAGGGCAAGATATTTATAATTGGCGATATCAACCTCAACAGTGCATCTAAATCTGTTAACAATTATTTCGTATATTTTCTTTCATTTTGTTCCATAGTAGAAAATAATAATGTATTTAATGTTTTTGGCGGCAAACTGGATGTAGTCTTATCCAGGGATAACGGTTGCGCTGTGCGTGTCGAGGCGGCTGAGGCGGGTGGTATTGTGAACGTTGACTCATATCATCCTCCTCTAGATATTGAAGCTAAGATTCTTGCAACGTCGAGCCGAGAGAGGACTAGTCCTAGTAATCTCGACTTGATGACCGACTGGAATTTTGGTAAAGCCGATTTCCTATTACTTTATGAAAGGATATCACGGACCGACTGGAACTGTGTCACTAGCGCCGCGGATGTTCCGTCGGCCACTGGCGAGTTTTATAGAATCCTATATAATATATTCGACACTTGTGTACCAAAGAAAAAGAGAGATATATCTAACAGGAAGCGCTACCCTGTTTGGTTCTCCTCGGACATTATAAAGGACATAAATCGTAAAATTAAGCTTCATAGACAATGGAAACGTTACGCTGACCCCAGTGTGTACGTAGCCTTTAGTAGTATTCGGTCTGAATTAAAAAAGCGCATTGATTGTGCGTACAAAACTTACACTGCGGCAATGGAAGACGGGATTAGGCGTGACCCATTGCAATTTTGGTCGTACATTAAGAGTCTTCGGTCCAAGGGTGGCTTCGAGCCCACGGTGAGCTACAAAAGTCAGACCTTCACCGGCAAGGACGCAGCGAATGCCTTTGCGGATTATTTTTCAAGTGTTTTTTTGCCAGACCGCCCAATGTTGGATGCTGATGATATAGCGCCTATCACAGCTACAACCGACGGGGGCTACATACATATCGAGAACTACACTATAGCTCAGGTCAAAAACGGAATTCTTAAATTGAAGCCGCGGAGTTCCATAGGCCCCGATAAGATTCCACCATATATTTTAATTGCATGTAGGGATTATCTCGCTCCTCCGCTAACCTATATAATGAACCTGGCACTCAAAAATGCCACTTATCCGGACCAGTGGAAGTTGTCTCGGGTCACGCCGATACCAAAATCCAATAATAAATCTTCCGTGGAGGAGCATCGTCCTATTGCTGTTTTGTCTTGTCCAGCCAAAGTGTTTGAAACAGTTACACATAAACAACTTTACTATCAATTAAAATCACATTTATGTGATGAACAACATGGGTTCCGACAGGGCCGATCAGTTGAAACAAATCTGTTGTCACTTGTTGACTACGTCTCAGCGGGTCTAGACAGGGGTCACGAGGTGGATGTTCTTTATTTTGATTTTAGAAAGGCATTCGACACAGTTGATGGGGATATTTTGCTGAGCAAGTTACAGGCCATAGGATTCACGCCTAACCTTTTGCATTTTTTTGCAAATTACCTATTGAACCGAAAACAGTTCGTTTCTCACGGGTGCTTTCTTTCGAGGTCATATTATACGTTGTCGGGGGTGAGTCAAGGATCAATTCTGGGGCCATTACTTTTTCTTTTAATGATTAACGATCTTGTCAGTGTGGTGCAGCATGCTAAATGTTTACTTTATGCAGACGATTTGAAATTGGTCCTTGAAATATCCGAGAACTGCACTCGTGATGATCTTCAAAACGATATTGACCGCTTATTGCAATGGAGTTTGACCAACAAATTATATTTTAATACAAGCAAGTGTTATGTTATGACGTTCAGCCGCAAGTCGCAGCCTGGTCGGGCTGTGTACACATTGGGCGATACTGAGGTGACTCGTGTTTATGGCATCCGTGACCTTGGTGTGACGTTTGACTGTCGCCTCACATTTCACGAACACATCTCCTCAGTGGCCGCCGAATCATATAGACGTCTGGGCTTTGTTTTGCGTAATGCGCGAGATTTTAGGGACCCGAAAATAGTCGAAATTTTGTACAATTCCCTTGTTAGAAGCAAATTGGAATTTGCAGCATGTGTCTGGAGTCCATATGAAGTGACGTACTCACTGGTAATAGAAAAGATCCAAAAGTCCTTTCTACGTTACTTGTACAGGAGTAAGTACGGATACTATCCATATATGTACCCTACGGATTTTTTGCTGGGTACTCTGGGATACAACTCTCTGGCTGTACGGCGGTCTCGGATACAGATCATAACTGCACTTAAGATTTTGCGGAATGTTATTGATTCACCAGAATTACATAATCTATTATGCACCATCTACGTCCCAGACAACTACCTGCGCCACCGCCACAGCCGCCGGCACAGACTACTTGTGAACCCGCGGTGCCGCACTGTATCACGCGCGCACTCCCCGCTTTGTAGCATGCGCAGCGCAATCAATGCCCTCACTCTGGAGCTACCCGATTGTGACGTATTAGCCGACAGGTTTAACCAAATTGTACTGTTGACCATACAATTTTGTGAAAATGTTGTACTTAATTGTAAATAACATGTAGGTATATTGTGACTTAATTCTTAATATAACTATTATTACTGTTTTTTTTTTTCCCAAATGTTTTGTGGGTAATTTGAGTCTGACAAGTTTGACATAATGATATTTTCTGTTAATCTTGACGTTTCATATGGTTTAAGTTCTGACATGAAGTTGAATTTTATTTTATTTTATTATATTTCTTTTAATGTTGACATGGATCTGAATGTGTATTTGTAATATTAATATGTATAATGGTCTTATAACAAATTAATTAATTGCTGTCATTGGTGTAACCGTTGTAATTAATATAAATAAATAAATAAATAAATATACTGGTAGGTACATTGGTCGAGTAATCAAGAGCGTAACTGTCGATCAATTGGTCTCAAGTTCGATTCCCTAGTTTGGTATAGTGGCAGGAAAATCTGTAAAGACTCATCCAATTTAAGATTTGTTTTTTATTGTTTACTGCGATTGTCTTCTGGAAAAATCCTTGTTTTTGAGTTTTCCTCTTTGTAATTACCTTCTTTCAATGTCAACGAGCATTTGATAAAAAGTGATTAGATGGTGAGGTCCTTCAGATTTCAAGTTACCTTATCAGTGTTTAACTCGTCGAGTACCGTATTTATAGACACAATTAAAGAACAATAGGTTGCGGTCACCGGTGACCGCGCGGTGTTTGAAAGTTTAAAGGACAAGTATCGGAATTGATTGTACTTAGAAGATAATCAATTTTTCAATCATTAGTTAATTCTTAACTGTAGAATATAATTGATACTTTAGTTTAGTTTAGTATGGAAGAATTGTCAAATATTGAACGTTATTCCTCAGTTAAAATTTACCTGAGCATTGAAAAATTGGCCGTTAAAGCTAATTTTTACATACATACATAACATCACGCCTTTTTATTCCCAAAGGGGTAGGCAGAGGTGCACATTATGCCACTGTACAATGTAACACCCACTTTTTACTATTTATGTTATGAGTCCCATGTAATAGGGGGTGAGCCTATTGCCATATATCGGGCACATTTCCAGACTCCGTGCTACTACTAAGTTTTTTTTAATACCCAAAAATAATTTGCCCGACCCGGGAATCGAACCCGAGACCCTTTGCCTGGCAGTCGCACATGCGACCACTTGGCCAAAGAGGCTAATTTTTCAATAATAAGTTAATTCTTTACTGTAGAACAAAATTGACATATGACAGTTTGTATGTGAAAAATACCGATAGCCCCCTATTAACCCATACCCATACTAGCACTCATGAAATGTCAAAATTGAATATTATGCTTCAGTCAGTACGTAACTGAAGCTAGGTGCTCGTTCAAGTTCAGATTCATACAGGCAATAATGAGCAAGAAACTGCATCAAATTAAAACCATAACTCCAAATTCCAAGTTAAAAGACATTTCATAAATACAAAGTTCTTAAGGGTCAAATCAGGGTAGCCATTGCTTTATTAAGTTCCAAAAGAAAACTTTTGAAATAAGACCTTTTTTCCTTTTCTTAACTTTATTACCATAATTGGGGCGAACCTAGTTGGACAGGAGTGTATTTGTAAAGATTACATCCTCCTTGGATCCCTTGGGGAGGTTCCAACAATCTTTAGAATTATGGCTGAACGTCCTCAACTATTTGTCTAACCCAAAAATGCTCCCTCAAGCTGAAGTTTTCATAAATTGGTTGTA